CAAATCGTATACACGCCTCTATTAAAGCCTAAAACCGACGTTACGCGAGATTCTTGGTCTCTTAGCGACAGACTCGCCGTTTTCGCCCCCGACAGTAGTTTATATTCTATGTAACTACTTATATAAATTATTAAATAAAGATACGACACCCTAAAATTAAAAAAAATTATTTATTTATTTGTTTATTTTTTTAATTTTAATTATAAAATTTAGCAAAATCGGAATTATTGAAATTTTAAATGTTTAAATATTTCAATATAAAATTAATAAAATTAAATTATTTTATATTTAAATTTTAAAAGAATTATATGTAAATTTTCAACAATTATTATGTAGGCAAAATCTATATTTTTTATTTATAATAAATAAGATTTATAAGAAATAACTAATTCGAACAAGTAAGTTAATTTTCATTAATAATTCTGTACTATTTTTTTTTTATTAAACGCAAAAATTAAAAAATCTGCGGACATCTAATCCTATCCCACGCGGGATTTTTGAAAAAACCGCAATTTGCCCATCTCTAGTTCTAACTGTTCTATTATATTACTAATACGTTTTTTTGTTTACTTTGGTCATCCTAAATAGGGATATATAGAGTGTCAAATTACCGACGGTCTCTGAGGATGTCAGTCAAGGATGTGGATCAGTATACTCACGTGAAGAATGTAAAAGATTTCATTGGCTATGTCTAAAATAGAAATTTGTATAACCTGCACAAATAAGCAAAGCCCGTATATACATAGAAGAGAAAGAAGAGAAAGAAAAGAAAAAAAAAATGAAAATAATATAGAAGTAGAATAATAATTAACAAGGAGGAAAGAAGAAAACAAAAAAAATAAAATAAAATAAAATAAACAAGGTCGGTTCCTTGGCCTTCACACTAAGTGAATTATATTGACACCGGCATTTAAACAAACTATATAATTATTTTTAACAAAAAAAAGTATTATAAATATTAATTTAACTATTAATACTACTCATGCTAGGTGGCACGACTCTATCTTCTATATCAAATCTATCTTCGTTTTCATCAATAACACCCCAAACCTTACTTGGTTTTGGACCCATAACTAATTCCATAATCGCCCCATTTGCAATATCTGAATGTCTAAACCATGTTTTTCTCCAATTTATGCCATTGATCTTCACGTTTTGAACATATGGATTTATATGATTATCGGCTGTTAAGTTATTAGCTAAAATTGTGAATGTTATTCGTAATGAGAGGTTTATCGTTACTCTATCAAAATTTGGTGAGTTTATTAGATATATATCTGTGCCAGCCCTAATATTTTTTTATGCAAAAAAATATAATAATAGTAAATTTATAGGAAGGATGTGAAATACGTAGTAAAATAATAAGTAATTATTTATCAGTTATATCTTACAATGGATATATTCCGATAGCATTAAAAGCAAACCAACTTCCCATCGCCCCTGAATCATCATTCCCTATTCAATAAGTATAAGTATATAATTTATTTGTTTATATCTTATTATAACTTATTATAATTTAATATGCTAATTTATAACATACCTGGAATTCCATCCTGGCCACTTCCAAACTTAGTTCTTAAAATATCCCTTATAACATCAACACTTTTATATTGTTTTCCAATAAAATGATATAAACAAGCATGAAAAAAATCAGGTTCATTTCCTATGTCGTAGTAACTACTTTGATACGATGTATCAGAAAAAGTTTTGTCAAGTCATTCTTCAAAGAGTTTTGGACCGCCGGATAATTCAATTAATCTTTTTACATCTACATTTTGCAATGATAGAGTGGAACAATATCAATAGTTATTAGAATAATAACCTGATGGAATAACCCTGTTAGAATATTAAAAAAAAAAAACCATACTTGTATATGGTTTTTACACAAGTACATACCAAATGGTATATCCAAACTATATTCCCATGAAGAACCTTCATAAAATACATAATCGCCTCCATATGTTTCTAAAACGTTCATTTCTGTATAAAATGTACCATTTTTATATTTTGGTATAATAAACCCTTTGGTACCTTTTTAGCGATAATATTAAATCTAATGAATAAGTGTCAAACGCATAAAATAAATGATTCTCTAATTATTTATTTACCATTAAACGTCTTATTAGAATGCCATAGATTCTCCCAATTTCTTGCTCGCTTCTTATATTTCATATAATCATCATATTTATCTAACTTTTTAAATAAATAAAATGTGTTACAATAAAGACATTCAAAAATATTCAAACACTTCATCTTTTTTCACCTTTAGCAACAAGACTGATACTATAATCGTTAGCAGAGTACTCTATAGTTCTACTACAAGGAGAATATGCATATTGTGTTCTAATATTTCCATATATAGGTATATAACCATATTTTATATATGATGATAAAGAGAGTCGGCCCTCAAATAAGCCGCTTCCATTTGGATCTACTTCTGCGTCTTTGATTAAAGCCTCATAAGCAAGATCCCAATCTATTACATTAGTACCTAATTTTTTTAAGTACGTTTCAGCCTATTATATAAATTTTGATAATAAAATAAAATAAATCATTATGTTATTTAGAAAAGAAAAAGTAAATAATGATTCAAACCTTACCACAACCATATCAGCATTAGATCCACCTTGTGTGATTCCATTCGCTAATCCACTTCTTCCATCAGGCATAAATCCTTCATTTTTATATATATCAATTAATGATCTAACAATTTCTACGGCTCGTTCTTGTTGGAAAAGTGTAAATAATGGATTTGATGTTCTAGATTTACAATCATGAATTTCTTTATTGTCATATTACACCTTCATGTCTATTTAAATTTATGAAATTTTGAATTTACCTAAATGTATCCCACTATTTTATTTAATTACTTGAGTCAGTAACTTTTAATTTTTACATTGCTTTTAAAGTTTATAATAGAAATAATATACCAAGGTGTAAAAATCTCCATAATGTGGTATTATGTTACTATTGTTATCGTATGATACCCATTTTGGATTCTCACCAGTTCTATTAACATAAATTAGTAAAAATATTATACATATATATATATAGTATATAGTTAAATAATATTAAATGATAAATACATACCTATTACTTGGAATAATCATGGTTCTGTATAAACTACTATAAAAAATAGTTTTTAAATCATCAGTTCCTCCTTCAACATAAATCTTTTCTAGCTCGGTTTGCCAAGCTTTTACAGCTTCTTGTTTAGTTGTCTCAAAATCCCAATTAGGTATCTCACTTTCAGCACTCTTACAAGCTTGATCAGCTGAAATAAATGAAATTCCAACTCTTGATATTATTACTGGATTTTCAGTAACATTAAATGTTAAAATAACACCGCTAATGTCACTAAAATAGTTTCTATCAAAATGCTCATGAATTAGTTCAGCCTTTTGACTTTTCCAAGTCTTAAATTCTATTGCATTGGTATTAAATTGAGAACAGAAATAAACTACATAGGGGCCTCCTTTATTCCAACCGCCGCTATAACAGCCTGCACCTTTTATTTGGTTAAATGAGATAGATTGTATTGATCCACCATGATATTTTGAAGTAGGTCTAATATATTAATAATAATTATAATAATGATGTTAGTAATGATGTTAATAATGATAAACGCATTTAATCTATTAAAAAAATACCTAAATCCAGGCACAGTAAGGCTATGAGACAAATCAATAATAACTTTAGTCTTATTTTTGAATGAAGGAAAAGTGTATCGATGAAGACCTGTTCTTCTATTAGCAGTTAATTCAACTGTAATATTATAACGTTTTAATCCAAATTTAGAATAACCAACTTCAAATTGTTCGAAAGAACGTTCAGAAGAATAGTGATATATATTAAGTGGATCTTCAGATGAATCTATTACAGGAAATTGACTTATAACTCCATATTTTGGTTCACCTAAATTTTTATTTAATCTATATGAGTGAAATACTAAAAATTTACTAAATAACAATATGTGATATATTTATTTTTCATTTACCTCCTGTTCCGCTAACATGTAAATCTTTACAAATAATAATTAAGTAAGACTCATAAACATCTGAAAAAATAGATGACTTATATAATAAATAATACGGTACGAGATATTCCTGTAATGTTTCCATTAGTAGTGTATCTATTAAATTCATAAAAAATTATCACTTAATGTTCTTTTAATAATAACTATAAGCAGTGAGATTATTACCCAGCATTATAATCATCAATGTTATCAGTATCAAAGCCTAATTTAACGACACCAAAAGGATGACATGGTCCAGGAAACACGTGCCCATCTACACGTTATTAAATTCGTTAGCAATATTTCTAAGAATGATTAAATCAAATTTCATAGGATGAATCTATAATAGGTGCTGTCGAGTGATTCTTAAAACGTTCGAATGAAAATTGAAATGAAACTTTAAGTAAAAAATAGAAACAAAACTAAGCAAAGAAAACAATTTTAGGCAAAAAAAATTATAAATACAGAGAAACCTCCATAAATGCACGCTCTTGGGACTGAACTTTAGCAATGTGCATTTAGAGAACAATAAGAAAAAGTGCATTTATAGAAGTCTTGCATATATTTGGGCCAGAGGTTGAACGTGCATTTAGAGAGGGTGTGCGTTTATAGAGAGTGCATTTATAGAGGTTTCACTGTAAAATGACATAAGTGCACACCCTCTCTAAATGCACGCTCAAATTCTGGCTCAAATATATGCTTGACCTCCATAAATGCACTTTTTCTTATTATTCTCTATACGCAAAGCGTGGCCCCACGGGTGTGCACTGAGAGAGGTCTGACTGTATTTTGTTGAAAGTTATAAAAGTCACCTTTAGCAGTTCCGATTAAAGTGTTAACAAATTTCATAATATTTTGACTTTTATATGTTGAATAAGATTTAAAAACGGTTGGATTCTGATCATTTATAGTTATAATTACTATAACTATAAACATAAATAAATTAAAAATTAATATAAAGCTTAAAATGTATCCTTTTGTTCGTTTATACATTGTTAACTTTCAAACGGCAATCATTAATACACTATATATACAAATCTGATGTTTGTATATGTTGTAGGTGGAAATGGAATTTAAGTGGATTTGGAATTTCCTAGTTAAATTAACCCCAGGCATGCATTATATTGTACGTCAGTACGTATTATCAATTTCCGATTTTGTATTACGAAGAATTTACAGGTTTCCTAAATTGGCAGTCAGTTCAACCACGAATTGATTATTTATTAATTAATGTGGTACCAACCTTAATTTCGACATGCTAATGGTCGGATAGATAATTGTGTTTTCAAAGGACAGAATCATTGAGGAAGTTGTACGATGCCTCTTCAATAATACTTACACATGTATACAAATGCTAGTCTCCCCGATGTTAGAGTAGAAGATGTATGCCCTTTGAACTCCTCTTCTAATAAAGAGAATTCTCATAACTTGCCCCTTCTAATAAATTACTTGTCTAAATGCCCACTTACTATAAATGTTTCAATTATCGTAAGTTTTATCCCGATTCTAAGAGATACTCATAAAGTGTGTCTATGGCTACATTCGTTTACCACCCTGATCTATCTTGGCACTTACCCTATCTGACGCTCTCCCAATTTCGAATGGTAACACCGCATAAAATTAATTAAAAAGAAAATTATAATTTCTAGAAAATTTGCCACTCTCAAAACGGTTCAATAATGTGAAAATTATAGTAGAACAAAGGTGAAAATTTTTATTTAAAAACAACGAGTATTTTTGTCGTCGGGTTATTTATGTATCGCTTAATTTGTATGTAAATTCGGGGTAAATTTGCCCCGAATTTTATAAAATCTTTTTTATATTATTTAAATTGCAATTAATATTATAAACTAATTACAAAACCTATAAAAAACAATAAAAAACAAATATTTAATAAATTTATTCATTTTTTACTATGAAAATCTTTAAAACAATTAGGTCGCACTTTAGAGCAACAAAGAGGTACATTACATCTAATACACCAGAATTGAGTCTGAGAAATTGCACAAGTTTTTTTTTTACCTTTATCATTATTTTTTATTACTCATCATTAGAAGTGTTAGTATTATCACTATCAGCCTTAGTGTAAGCCATTATTTAAAAAAAAAATGCGGAAAAATTAAGTATTGATCTTTATATTCAAAGAACATCTTCAGAAGTTCAGAAGTTCAGAAGTTTATTATTTTTGTTTGTGGCAAAATACATCAACACAGGAGTTGCAGTTATGTTTGCGTGCATTGTGCCACAAACATTGGGGATACTTTTAGTAAATTTTAATGGTAGTGTGAAAAATTTGACGGGAATCAGAAATTCGGGGCAAATTTGCCCCGAATACAGTTTAAGGAATAGTGTTATATGCTCAATTCTGCTCAGTGGTTCGTTTAGTCTTGCACTCGCTTTATACACAGCTACGTTTCTTACTCAAACACTGTCCTCTTCTCAATAACAACTTCTCACGACTTTCTTAACTCAAGGTACTAAGTCACTATTACTAGGCACAGGTTATTCATTAAGAAATAGAAGCATGGGTTCGATCTGCAAGATCGAACCTCTATTCATTTAACTCCATTATTTACATTTGATCACGTTCCACGATCAGTAATATGATCATGACGCGTGACATTCGTTGAACCCAGCTACGAAATACAGGGTATCACCACAAAATTGCTTTCATTTTTCAATATTTTTCAAAACGCTAAGTCATACGGGAATATTAAGATAAATGATTCTTTAATTAATAATGGTAGTCGATTAACCAATTTTAGGTTCTGTAACATTATTCGTCCATTGATCTTTTTTTTAGTTTGGTTGATTTTCGTCTATATTTTAAACACCTAAAAAAGAACGGCCTATGTGTCGAATATTGGAATTTACACAGATTTAGTATGTGTGGGAGATCATATTCGTACACTATGAGGTGTAAAATCAACCAATACTATATTTGGTTAATCGTTTGACATCCAAAAAGTATTTGATTATCAAATTTTTGTTTGATTATGCCGAGCACTAGTCATATACAGTGAAACCTCTATAAATGCACTCTCTATAAACGCACACCCTCTCTAAATGCACGTTCAACCTCTGGCCCAAATATATGCAAGACTTCTATAAATGCACTTTTTCTTATTGTTCTCTAAATGCACATTGCTAAAGTTCAGTCCCAAGAGCGTGCATTTATGGAGGTTTCTCTGTATTACTATACAATATTAGTTTTAGAAATTATCGTTATAGTATATTTATTTGGAATAATTTTTAAAATAGGTATAGTATTTTACACCTTTTACCATACTATTTTGGTCATATTATTATATTAATATGTACGATCTTCTGTAATCACATTTTTGATTAGAGATCAACTCTATCCTAAAATATTACCAGAAAGCAAGCTTCTTGTCTTAGCAAAGAATTTTCTTACAAGATTTTAATCTTAATCTACTTGCCTGTTGAATTAAATGATGCTATAATAAAATTTGTGAAAGCTTAGTTTTCAGATATAAAATTTTTCAGAACCATGTGATTTACAGTTGCGCATCAGCGTTAGGCCAGCAATAACCAATAATAATAACCATATAATTATTATATTACTGGGTTATTAGCAAAATCTATCAATTCTGATCCATTCCGAACTGGAATTTTGGTTACGTAGCTAATATACATTTATTAATTAATATAAAGGATTAGATTGTATTGTCATATAATACATATATATAGTTAATTAATGAAATAATTAAAAACCTGCAACTGAAACCAATAATTTCGGTTTTCGATCTCATAAATAGCTCAGGTTCAAATTACGGTCTTAACTAAAAAATCGGTATAATTTCTTCATTTTTTTTTCTAACAATAAATAGCAATGAAAATTTTCATTTTTCAATATTTTTCAAAATTTAAGACATACAGAAATATTAATACAGTCAGACCTCTCTAAGTTCACCCTCTATAAGTGCACACCCTCTCTAAATGCACGCTCAAGTTCCGGCCCAATATACGCTTGACCTCCATAATGCACTTTTTCTTATTATTTTCTATATGCACGTTGTAAAGTGTGATCCCAAGGGCGTGTACTTAGAGAGGTCTGACTGTATAAGCGATCCTTTAATTAATAAAGTTTTTGATGTTCTGTCTGTCTGTCACTTTTAAAGATTAGATTAACCAATTTTAGGTTCAGCAATCTATTCATATGTTGATCTCTCTTTTTTTTTGTGGATTGTCAATTCCGTTTACTTATTTTAAATTCTTAAAAAAGAATGATCTGTGCCGGATTATGACCAAATTCGTATGTTATGTGGCATAAATAATAACGATCCTCATGAACTTGGCATAGTGATCGGAGATTAGTATGGTATATATAGTTTTTTAATTGGTATCCTACACCATTTATCATACTATTTTTGTCTTCATATTGTTATACTGATTCTCTATAATCCCAATTTTGATTATCCCACATCTTTTAGGTTTAGAAATCAATATGGCTTAGAATAGATTTCAAAATTATATCGTAAAATATTACACAAGAAACAAGCATTTTGTCTCAACAAGGATATTTCTTGCAATCCAGAAAAATTTAAAATTTTAATTAAGTATGGCATAGTATGTTATATTATTATATAAAAAATCAAATAAATAATTGTTATTCCGATTGATGAATTATTATAAAATGAGAGGAGTAAGTAAATCTTACTTCGGGCCTTCATTTTATAATTTATTTTTACTAGATTTGGCCTTTAAAAATCTGATAGTGACATCTATGGTAAGCATTACAAATAATCTATATCTGATCAGATTTTCACGAGCTGAATTTGATAAATAATAAATGATTGGCTTGAAATTCCGAAGTCTCGTTTTCTTAGGTAGATTAGTGGTGGCAAAAAAAAGTCGTGACCATGTGATCGCCGACATTTCCGAACCCTTTCGGAGTCATATACAAAATTTATGCAAATACGATATCAGACATATTTTTTTTTATATTAATTATATACCGATACTTTATATAATCAATATAGATATTAATTGTTATATGTAGCGAAATTAAATCGTTCGATTACAAGTTAATAAATCAATATAGCAATCGTACATACATGTTAAGGCGAGATTTATTTATATTTATATTGATTAATAAAAGAGAAATTAATTAGTTTGATTTCACATAATATATCGTAGTGAATTAAATTAATTCGAATCAATATAACGAATATAAATGTAAAAGTGAAAATTAGTTTAATTTCACATAATAAATCGATATAACGAATATAAATGTAAAAGCAAAAATTAGTTTGATTTTACATAATATATCGATATATGAAATGAATTTAATAATAGTAATTTGAATTATAATGTAAAAGCAAAAATTTGAATAATTTATCATTAAAAATAAGATTTTTATCTAAATTAAACTTTAATTGCTATTGATTTTATTATTGTTAGAGGTAAACCCGAGACACAGCAATCCCGTGACGATGTACGAACAAGCGTCGTGCAACAGTGCTGTGACCAGGAAGAATTAGATGCCTATTGCCCTGCAACAGACCCGTTGGATCCGGGTTCCCCAACTGCAACAATAACGCTGATCCCATAGAGAACAGTCACCTGCCCGATTTGGATTGACAGCTGTCAAGGTAATAATACCTTGTCGGGTAAGGTGTGTGGCCATGTGTATGCATCATCAAATGCTGGCGTTATCTACTGTCATTGAGGAAGTGAAACTCAATGAAAAAAATGCTATGGGAATGAAGACTAAGTTGAAGAGAAAAGTAAAGTGCTAGTTAAATTAAGTAAAATCAGGTTTAAATAGTGGGAAAAATAAGTAATGGAAGCATCGAACATTTCTTGTTGTAATTCTTATAAATACA